TCAACTTCAAATTGCTGGAAATGCTGCATTTGGAAGTTGAGTGTATATACAATGGTTGCTATGATGAGTGTTCACCGTTTGCTATCCAGTTTTCAAAATGACGTCCAAGCAAGATAAGCAGTGTCAAAATTTTGCTCGCGTAGCAAGATAATCCGGCGTTCTCACACGCCGAGTTGGCAAAATTGCTGGATGTGGCCAAATCGACCGTGAAAAACGTTTTAAAAGTGTTCGGGGAGCGTCTGTCGATCGCCAGGAAGCCTAGAAGCGGCGGCAATCGTAATCCGGACGTGGCAGCGACGAAGGTGGCGGTGAAATATAAGCGGAATCCTAACCTCTTTATCCGGGACTTTGGTGGCAAGCTCAATGTCTCCCATACTACTGTGCAGCGGGCCAACGAGCCGGGTTGTCGACAATTAAGAAGGTGAAGGTGGTGAACCGTATTAGGAAAAGGGAAGGTGGCTGAAATTTTCAAAATTTTCAAATTATCGAAGTTTCCGAAAAAATATCTCGTCTGGCAGGCCATATGTACGGGTGCACAGTGGTTCAAACCTACCGAAAACGTGCGTTTTTTATTTTGGGTATGTAAACGTCATTTTGGAAGGGTAGTGTCTTAAGAGAAGTTGTTAGATACTTTGTAAGCTTTGTTTTGAAGTAAGTAAAACTAGGATCTATCCACCTAGACGGGCAATAGAACATTCAAATTTTGTAAACATGCTCAAAAGTGGTTGGCATCTTCAGCAAAGTTGTAGATAATGCAAATACTAGCAACTTTGCTCAAGATGTCAATATCGTATACTCAATGTATGATGAGTTAACTGACGTTTTTATGAAAACTCCCTCAAAAATCATTTTTTGTTAGAAAAAATGTTTAAAATTTTATTTTAGCAGTATGATTTGTACTAGAAAGTTGTAGATATAATCAAAACACGCATTTTACTTGAAGACATTAACTTTAAAGGCTTCACATCATGATCCTAGCAAGCCATGATAAAAACGTTTAGCTGGCGCATCGTTTAGCTGGCGTGAACTTGAAAAAATGCCATCTATCATCAGAATAGGTTAACGTATGTTGTGTCGATTAGTCCTGAAATCATAAATTAAGAAAAAAACTAAAACTCCATTTTCGTTTTCCATCAGCGGTCTTGTTATACTGAATTAAATTTGACAAATCTCAACCGAGCTGAGCTGCAAGCTGCACTTCACAATTCGCTTTCTTCTAAGCACCTCACGTAAAGCCAGCTTCATAAGCACATTGTTGTTTTGATGCGCCAGCTAAACGTTTTTATCATGGTTTGCTAGGATCATGATGTGAAGCCGAAAAAGCTATACCGTGTTCTTTGAATGAGAGATGACGTGTTGTAGAGGTTGGATGTTGTTGGTAGTATGTCAAATGTATTTCTAACATGCCAAACGTAGAACCTATCAGAACCTAATGAAACCACTTGTATTTTGTAGTTCAAAGGCAAACTTTTTGAATGAAGATGGTTTGGCTTGCCCGTATTTGCCCGTTATCCAGATATTTTGCGTAGAAAATGACCTATTTTTATGTTAAAATATGTCTTCAAGTAAAATGCGTGTGTTGATGATATCTACTAGAACAAATCATAGTGCTAAAATAAAATTTTGAACATTTTTTCAAACAAAAAAATGATTTTTGAGGGAGTTTTCATAAAAACGACAGTTAACTCATCATACATTGAGTATACGATATTGACATCTTGAGCAAAGTTGCTAGTATTTGCATTATCTACAACTTTGCTGAAGATGCCAATCACTTTTGAGCATGTTTACAAAATTTGAATGTTCTATTGCCCTTCTAGGTGGATAGATCCTAATTTTACTCACTTCAAAACAAAGCTTACAAAGTATCTAACAACTTCTCTTAAGACACTACCCTTCCAAAATGACGTTTACATACCCAAAATAAAAAAAAAACGCACGTTTTCGGTAGGTTTTAACCACTGTGGTGTGGTCTAAAAAGCGGCATTTTCATTACTACAGGAACCATCAATCGAGAGATCTACGTTCAGGAGTGCCTGGAAAAGCGGCTGCTACCATTCGTAAAGCAACATAATAGACCTGTGCTGTTCTGGCCGGACTTGGCGAGCTGCCACTATGGGAAAAAGGCAATCGAGTGGTACGATGCGAACAACGTGGTTGTGGTACCCAAAGGCCACAACCTTCCCAACATCCCAGATCTCCGCCTTTTCGAACGATATTGGGCCTTGGTCTAATGGAATCTCAAAAAAAAAAAACTAATAAATCCGTGGAAAACGAGCAGCAGTTTAAATCTAACTGGCGTTCGATGGCGAACTCGGCAGTTCGGATTTGGCAAACCAAAAGAATAAACGAACATTTTTTTCTTTTAAATATATGAATTGAACTACCAAAAGAAAAATAGAAATAATTTTTTGATATTAATTTTGACTGAAAGAATCGATTTTTTTTGTATACCAATTTTTGCGCATTCCTGTATTTATTTACCTGCAGAGTTCTATCAGTTAAATAATTTTGAACTTATATATTCATAATATAGAGTGGCATATTAAGCCTTTTCAATTTAGCAATCAAACCTTCATGCCAAACACTGTCGAATGCTTTTTCTATGTCTAGAAGAGCAACTTCAGTTGAGTGGCCTTCAGATTTGTTTGAACTAATAAAATTGGTATTTCTTATGAGTTGATGAGTACTTAGATGCCCATGGCGAAATCCAAACTACTCATCTGCAAAAATCGTGTTTGTATGGATTTGAAGCATCCTCAGCATGAAAGCACACTTAATGGACGGTAGCAAGAAGCTTCAGCTGGATTTTTATCCGGCTTCAAAATCAGAACAATTTTTGCAATATTTCCATTTATCAGGAAAGTATGCCAAATGAAAACATCTGTTAAATAATTTGAAATTACCAGCATCACCTGAGACTTTCATATTTTAAAATTTTTAGCTGTATATCTTAATTCGTCCAAATCAGTCCCCCGGAGTCATTAAAAATATTTTCCCGAGAGAAAATATTCAGATACTGCCGAGTAACCTGATTCTCAATAGCGCTAGTAAGACTCTAACTGATATTATGGGAACTCTCAAATTGCTTGACTAGTTTCTGAGCTTTTTCCGAGTTTGTGATCAAAATTTTGCCACCTTCTTTAAGCACTGGCATAGGCATTTGGGTTTTTTTTTAATTGAGCTTCCAAAAGTCCCCGCCCCTGACAGGATTCCCCGCCGTTTTTTTGTGAATGGGACAGGACAGAAAGTATATTTTGTGTAGAATATGTAATAAAGGAGGAACTTTGGATGTAAATCTAAATACATTTACAGAGGTTCCAGATATGTTTCACAGCATCAGGTACTCTATTTTGTAGTCTGTGGGAGGGAAATCACAAATCGAGTGTCATCAAAATACAGGGCAGGTTGAGAGATTGAGCTCGTGAGAAAGAATTATCTCTCCAAAATTTTATTATTTTTAGCTCTCTGGCAAGGACTCAAAAATATCTGAAAATAACAAAATGACAAGCGATTAACAAACCGAATGATAAAAGCTATGTCAGAAGTGGAGAACAATAACGATAAAATCTTCTTCCTTTTTTCATGACAAGCAGCCTGTGCGACACAGCTCGCCCCGAGAGCAGAAAGAAACGAGCAAATTGTTGGCAAGCTGCTTCACGCTGTGTATATTGCAACAAAGTGGCAAGCCATATTTCAATATCGTTCAACTACTCCGATTGAGCTATGTTTCAGAGCGAGTTTTTCATGGTAGTCGTAGCAACAGTTTTGTCTCACCAACGCCCAAGATCACGCTTGATTTTCGTTGACAAAAATCAACAAGCAAACAACTGTGGTTGATTTTGCAAGCTGTGATATCGCAGCTCGGAATATCAAGCTAACGAAACTCACCAACTGCAAATCTCACCAAACTGTGGTGAGATTGAGTTTAATGATTTTTGCTTTACTCCCGAATGCAACCGAAACTTCCATAACGGCTTGCAGCAGTCCCTTCGCGTCTGCCATCGGTGAAGATTAAAAAGAGATAGCAAACTATGCTTTCTCTTTCTAAGAAAACGATGCGCAATGGAATCATTTTTGTGTCGAGTCAACTCTTAGCTTGATTTTTGCACGTTGTGAATAGTCTTGCAATATCAAAGGAGCTTGTAAAATTAATATCAAGCATGATAGTTTGTTCCAATATCACGCGTGATATTGCGATCGAATGAGAGCGGAAAAATATCAATTGATTTCTGATTTTTCCAACACTGATCGTTGGTTGCTTTATGTGTTCGGATTCGCTGCTCTCAGGGGACTGGTAGTATAGCGGTTAATAAATAATTGGGAAAAAAACCTGTATTATTTAGTTGTAGCTTGTATGATCTGAATATGAATCAAAAACGTATTATTTCCACTTTTCCAAATTTCTATATGGGGATTTTTATTACTTGCTACCAATGGAACAGCACCATCTGTGTGAAAAATAGCTTTGACTAAATGGTTCATTGTAAATCTGGTTCCTGTAGCTTTTTTTTAAACTTTTATTTGATTGTCCATTACAAGGATGGGGTAACTTACATCAAGCAAGGTTTCGATTTTTCGTACAAAAAATAGTCATCGCAAATCGTTTCTACTTATTTGGAAACCCAGAACACATGCTGTTCAACGCCATCAAAGCCAAGAATTGCTGCAAGTTACCCCGATTTAGGTACATTCATCGCTCTAGGAGGAACTATATCAAACTTCCCTCCTGGGACGGTCCACACCGGAACCTTCCACAGGAAACGGCACCAATGAAATAATAAGATTGAGGCTCCTTCTTGATGGCTACTCCCTACCGTTCTAACTTCACCCGGGGTTCTATTTCTGCCCACTCGAGTGGAAAGGCAAGAATCCGCCACCGTGGCTGCTTGTGTGTACCAATGCATGTCGGTCCGTTGTCGGACAAGTAATTTTGCACCACTCATCTTCGTTCTTTCATTTTTTTTTCTCTTCTTTCCGTCTCCTTCCACAACTAACAGTATCCCTAAGTTCGACGATGATGCTGACCACGGAGGAGTCGGCCGGTCTGCAGCCCTACTTCGACTTTGATGTACAGCGAAATATCACCGTCACCGTAGGCCAAACGGGCTTCCTGCACTGCCGGGTGGAACGACTTGGCGATAAGGACGTAAGTATCCAAGAAGCAAAGGCAAGCTTACCGGCGGGCGGAAGTTTTTTCTTTGTGCGCTTATTGTTTTCGATGATTTACGGGTCAGGCTTATTGGGGTAGGCTTTAGTGAACGACCTACGGCCCGAGATGGAGACAGAGAGAAAATATAACCGTCCTTGAATTGAAGGTGGATAGTCAATAGAGCGTCGTAACTTGATGCTAAGAAATTTGGCAATAGCGTCTGGCAAACTTTATGAATATTTCCAAACGATAAAGTTCCTGAGTATGATGTATTAAGACATTCATAGTTCGCTTCAAATATAAAAGATTGCATTTCTCAGCCAAACGTTTAGGAAAACACGATTTCATCAATATCGTGTTACAATAAGCTAGTTTTCGCATGTGGCAAGGGTTTTCCCTAAGAACAGAACGCATCGTGTAAGATCGATGATGCAAACAGTTTGCAGTTGCATGGATGTCTTTCTGTAATAGTGCGAGGTCCAATAGTTACTTTCAGTAAATGGCAGTTACTGTAATTTGTTGTCAACAGATTCTTCATATATATGAGTAGTATTTTTCCGACGAAAACTAAGATTCGGAGCTTTTCACAAAACACGATATTCCTGGAAGACAAAATCGTTTTTTCAATCCCCACCGGCACCGGCACCGTTTTCTTCGATAGACAGACGTTGGCATGGCAAGCTGCAGAGCTAGCATGAGTCTGATCCCTTACTCCGGAAACCGAGCATCCGAAGCAGTTGTGCGAACGGGATATTTTCGACTAAGCCTGTTTGTTGTTTTGCCGAAAGCGAGCAATCAGTCAGTATGGATTTTACATAGATTGTTTCGGAAATGTCACCCTTACCGATAACGTTCCTCCGGATACCCGAGGTCGGTGATGACAGCAAGAGGCGCTTTTCACGCTATTATTGTCGTGACTCGTTTGTATGGGGAACAAAGGTGGTAAGTAGGGAACAAGGCATCGATTGTTGGATGGCAGGGGTATTGGGTGTAAAATGTTCCTGCGCGGTTATAAGACCGTCGACTTTTTTTCAGGTTCCATAATCCGGAGGCAAGTTGATCACCGGGGTGTAATTGGTTGGTTGGTTGTCTTTATTAAGGAGATTTTCAGCCAGACGCTGGTTCATCTCCGGGGATGTAATTGGTCATTACGCCTTGCACTTTTAATGATCACGTATAATATTTTCGGTAGAAAATATAAAGATAAATCTTAAAAACATTTCATCATGAGACTCCAATGATTGCCTTGAAGAGTTTTACATAACTTAAAATTATATTTTATTGCATAAATTTACCTATTTTTTTTAGCTGATATTGTTGTCATTACCAATCAAATAGCATTTGTTTTACTTAAGTATGTGTCAATAATATAGAAGTATTTAATAATATTTAAGAAATTACTTTGACTATATGCTTAGTATTACTTCTGCGTCAACGATTTACATAGTCGAAGATGCTAATTTCAAATAACAGACTAAAGTGGTAATTTTAATACGATAGATGAAGAGATGAAAGTATAAAATTGATAGTTCCGTCAGAGTACGGCAGTGTGAAAATTTCACATGGAGAGTAGAAAGCGAGCAAGGACAACTTTAGGAAGGTACACATCGGTTTGATCCTCTCTCTTTACCAAACTCCCCCGTTGGAAAGGATGGTGAGGGGTATTCTCCCCGCCACCACTGGAAAAAAGAGATGATCACCGACACGCTAAAATACCGACGATGTGTTTAAAACAGTTCTACCGATTTTTACCGCACTCAAGTTATTATATGAAGGAAGGCATCAAACCGATTTGTACCTTCCTAAAATTGTCCTTGCTCGATTTCTACTCTCTATATGCAATTTTCACACTGACGTACTCTGACGGAACTATCAATTCTATACTTTCATCTTCTCATCTATGATATAAAAAAATATAATATTAGTCTGTTATTTGAAATAAGCATCTTCAACTATGTAAATCGTTGACTTCACGCAGAAGTAATACAAAACATATAGTCAAAGTACATAACTCTGGATGGGATAATACCATCAATTACTGTCATTGGTCGAAAGGTACAGTAGCAGCACCTTCCCTACCCGTATTACAGTTGGATCCTAAATTCTACTGAAAGTAGCGTCGGCCTCCCAGCTGGAGCTGTGAACGCATTATTAACGTCAACCGTTATCACGGTGTAATATCGATCTCCTATACACTTCTGTTTCGACGCCTTTTCGACTCTCTCGACAACTGTCCGAATTGCATCCACCTTTGGTTTTCCTTTTCGAAATCCGAACTGCCTCTCCGACAACCCTTGCTCACTCTCCGTGCATTTCGTCAGCCTGTTTAGGATGATCCTCTCCAAGAGTTTTCCGAGTGTATCCAGCAGGCACTGCTACGAGTTGCTCGTTGGTGACTTCGTCGTTATCTCCCTCTCCGTCTCCGTACGATGTAGGTGGCCAGGTCGTTGGATCGTTCTTCGAGAAAAGTTCTTCCACGAGGACTTTCAGGTTCTCTAAGCACATTTCAGCGGGCATGGCTTGACATCTGATCTTCGTCATCACGATACGGTGTGCGTCGTTGGCAGCAGCGTCTCGATCCAGCTCCAGTTGACAGTTTGACTTGCTCTGCTTTATCGCTCGTTTATGTGCTCGGAACATTTTTCTACGTTCCTCTCTGTCGCTTCTGTTCTTGCTCTCTAAACATGTCTTCTGGCTCTCAGACACCTAGCGCGGAGGGTACTAATTGCCTCGTTGCAGCACTAAGCTGGAGGTTACACTTCAGGTCGCAAGCTCTCATCCTCTGTACTGCCACAGGATTCTCTTGGCCGATGCCATATCGGATTGCCTGATGGTCAATACGGATATATCTTTCCCACACTCTCCATTTCGGACTGCAGTCCGCATAAAGTGACGTCGATAATGGATTTCCGACCATATCTGCGAAAAGTGCTGGTGGTGCCTTTATTGAACACCCTTATTTCCAGCTTCGCCAGAGTTTCCAGCAGAATGTGCCATCTTGCGTTGGTACATCTGTTTCCCCCACTCCACTGCCTAAGCATTGAAGTCTCCTCCGATGACTACCGTTCTTCGTCCGATCAGTTCTTCGGTAAGTCCAACCAGCGTCTCGTGGAATTGATCCATCGCCCATCGGGTGCGTAGCAGCTGCATATGAATAATCCGTTAATTTTGGCGATCACGAAACCTTCTTCTTGGATGGGGTATCTGCCCATAACTTGTATTGCAGCTATCCCAGCTCTATCCGCCACCTAGTTACCTTTATCGGGAGGAACTCGATACAGTTGTGCAGTGTCGCAATAATTGAGGTTTATTTGAGTTACCTCTGTTATTGATGCGACAAAACAATTAAGTGTCATTTGGAGCAAAATGCTTGAGAATTCATGCTTAAAATCAAAAATTTCAGCAAAATCTTCAGGCTGCCAAAATCGGGACAAAATCTGATAAAATCGGAGGGTAGACAAGATCGGGGGTGAACAAAATCGGGAGCTGACAAAATCGGGAAAGCACTGTATAACAATCTAGACATTCTCTGCTGATGAATGCAAATAAAGCATGAAATTCATCCCTAGATTTAATCGGAAGCTTCCTTCCATAAATGCATTAAATACTCACTTGAATTCTCGTTGAAACTCCTCTCAGAGTTGTTTTGAAATTTTGCTTGGAATTCCCCTAAGATTATGGTCAGAATTCCTTTGATTCTTTCAAAATTCGAACCCTGTTTATTTTTCATGGATCCTGAAATCCTCTTCACAATCGACTTGGAATTTTCCACAGAGCTACTTAAAAATACTACTCTGAATCTGAACTCATACAAGTGACTTGGCGATAAAGCCTAAAATCCCTAATGGCGGTTAGCTCCAACTCGGATTCACTTTTAATACCGTCCCAGTTTTGGTGATCTGCAAAATGCTTGCTTAGAGTCCTGTTGATAACTCTGATGTCGACATCAAAGAAGCCAGATATTCTTTTTTTTTTCTTGAATTGTTTTTCTGTTGATCTTGTTTTCCGTGCTGAGCACCACTAACCGACGCCAGGGAGGTAGCTCCTACAGCTGGACCCTACCAATCGACCCAGCAACTCATGAACCGGGGACCAATGCAATGGCTTTACTTCCCTTCCGAAGGAAGGCGTGATCAGAGATGTTATGCCTCAGAACATCCCGGCGGCGCCAACTGGGATTGAACCCAGGCATGCTGGGGTGAGAGACAATCACGCTTACCACAACACCACCGGCGCCACTAGCCAGACATTCTTGATTGGGATTTAATCCGATGATAATACCGGTTGGAGCTTACCACCATGAGAATTCTTCCTTCAACTCCCTTTAATTTTCTCTGAAATGTATTGGTGTTATCCCTGTTAAAATTCCTTCGTTAAACAAAATCTCGTCTGGTTCAAGAATCTTAAAATTTTCACAAGGCCCAAAATCTTATGGGATTAAGTAAACATTTTCCCAATTTTTCATCAAAATTCACAGTTTTTTCCCGGTGTCTTGAAATTCCCAGTGTCTTAGAATTCCCGGTTCACTTGTCACCTTGCCCATCCAACACCTGCCCGACATCATCCGATCGACTCTCCAAAAATGAGAGAGCGAGATGTATATATTGAAAATCGGATGATGTCGAGTAGGTGCGAATTGAGCTTAATGAAAAAAAAAACATCTTGTTGCAGAGGTGAGTATCCTTCCACCCCACCACTGGTTGTCATGGTGACTCATCACACCCGTTCGCTGCGAGATAGTATTACTGCACGACTGCAGAGAGAGAGAGAAAGGGAAAAATTCTACTTCGTACCGCTGGCGATGATTTTGCAAATACTTGCTTCTGCAGTCCGCTCATCTCGCCAACCGATGCGAAAAAGAGCAAAAACGCGACAGCAGTGCTGTTTTATAACTTTACAAGTACAAGCAGAACGATGTGCAAACAAGTGGTACTCTATTATGACGACTGGGTTAGGGAAAACGTAGTTTTTTTTTTCAAGAAAACAGTGATAACATTATTAATTTTTATTTTTTTATTCATTTAAGCTTTTTTTAAAAGAAAAATTAAAAAGTATTTATTTAAGCTGATTGGCAACGTTATATCCCATCAATTGGTATATTTGGCTTTCAATTTCATCTATCAATAACAAATTTGCAAGCGTTCAAAACCTAACACCTTTTCGTGATGGTCGCAATTTAAAATTTTTGATTTACCCCTGTACCTTCCCGTAAGACGTAGACTACGTCAAAACTGATTAATTTGCCACCGGATTACGGTACTTTTAAAGAAGAAATTTCATTGAAAATGCCATTCTGGATGAAATAAAAACTTTAAATTTTGTTTGAAAATACCATGAAAAAAATGCTTTTGGTTATATTACCCCGCTGACGCGTTTTAAATCATTCCTTCCTATTTTGTTCTTCAAATTTCAAATCGTTATCCGCCACATTCAATTTAGGATGAAGATGGATTGCGAGTCAATAAACTCTGGGAGACGTTATTCCAAGCATTGCCTGAACGACACACAGCAATCTCCCAAAGAGCAGGATTTCGATCTAGGGGATTACCATTTACGCTGTTCTCGAGTGATGCCATTTGCGTGGAGAAGTACGTATGGAATTTGGCTGAATTAGATCAACATTGTTATTATGGCCACTCATGTGCCACTAGCGTTATTCTGAAGTTTATGAATAAGCTTTTTGATTAACCCAAGATTGTGACCACTTAAAAAGTTACTGTCACTGGAAAAGTTGGTATGGAAACACGTTCATTTGATTGGTCAACAGCAGTTTATAATTGTATCACTAAGTGGCGCTAGTGTGCAAGTACCGGAATAAGCTATAACTTAAAATTCTGACCACATAAGAAGTTACTGTCTTCGGAAAAGTTGTTCAAGGAGTTTGCACTAATGGGCTACTGTACACACTCAGAAATAACTAATTTTAAACGTAACGTAATCCATCTTTAGTATAAACGATGAAACGTAAACAAACATGTTATGTAAAAATAAATGCTCCGAGAATGAAAAGTGCGGTACTCGACGAGAAACACGTTGTATCTTCACGTCTGTTATGTTTCAATTTGATGTCAAAATTACGCTCATAAATGCCAGTCTCAGAGAATCTGAATACAGGGTGATTCAGAATAACTGTCACCAATTTCACAAATATGCAATTCTCAATGTGTAAAATGGGTATATGTTCAAGTATTTTCGTTTTAAGTGTGTACACATATCAGCTTGTATTGATAGTAGGATTTGAAATTTCATTCGTTTGTGATTTCAAACAGCCATTGACGTCCAAATGGAGCATGGCATAAATCTGTAAAAAATCGTGTTTTATCTATTAGAAACTGAAATCTCTTCGAAAGAATGTAACATTTATTTTAGCTGTGGTTAATTTTCATGACAAATGTGGCTGATAATAAAGGTAAAGGGAGAGAGATTTGAAATAAACTATGCTTTGTTGAAGGTTATATATCCAGAATATCTGGAATATAATGATATCAAAAATTCATGCAAGCGTTCAATCGTTATGACCATTTTTAAAAGGGACAGCTATTCCGAATCACCCTGTAGATAAATAACATGATTTTTTTTATAAGTGTGTTGCTTTGTGTTGGTGCTGACATAGATAGCTCTCAACTAACGACATCGGAAGTACTGTAACAATGAGCGCTGTACTTAAAAATTCCACTTGAGACGTAATAGCCAAAAGGATCTTCACAGGAAAATTATCCCTACGTAGTGAATAAATTCTGAACTGCTCTCCACCAATCAACTGTTCATAACACCTTAAACAACTTTGCCAGATACATTAAATTCCTAGGTAATAAGGATCTTGAGTTGTCGCTTACTCAGAAACTTCACAACTATACACGTAGTGAGAAAAATCTGAACTGCTGTTCAGCAATCAAATGGACTTGACCTCTTGAACAACCTGTATTCTATAAGTGATGGCAGCGCTGCTTTTAGTGGACCGGTGGGTTAAACAAGTACATAAGAAATTGAGAACTCCTGTGGATGAGCCTCAAGATTTAAAGCTGTGAAACGCATCATCCGATGATTTTGATTCACCCAATCTGAACAGAACACGTTAGAATTGATATCCGATCTAGCTTCGCTTCTCATATCGACAAAGTGGTAACGATGTCTACATAGATTTGAGCAAGATTCATTCCTGTCATTGTGCTTTTGCTACCTAAAGCCAGGCTTGATAGAGCCTCACTCGCGAGTTTGAAATGAGCCGAGCGTAGCATTTTTCTGAGAAGTAGAATGCCTACTGCCAAATCATTCCACTGAGCTTCAGAGCTTGTGAGCGAAGGGGGATAAAATGAGAGTGAGGTTTTCTGCCATTCATGTTCATGTATTCTATCACACGCTCGTAATCTCACTCTGGGTGAACTCTGAGCTTCTTGCGTCGAACAAAAAAGTCATCCGGAGTCTTGAAAAGCGCACCTCACGTCAAATCATCTTCTCGCTGAAGTTCACTCTCCCTCTCCCTCTTACAGTAATCTCGATGGAAGGTTCTTTGGAGAAACGGTTTTCTACCAGAATGACGCCTAGACTCAAACGAAATGGGCAATTTCTTGATGAAACTTATCATGAAATTCGCACGGAAATTTTGAACTTCGCTAATGAATTCAAGTTTCCGCTTCAAATTGGCCAGAAGTACCAGCGTGGTTGGTAAGAACGCCGCGGTTTGACTGAAACCTTGGACAAATTAAAACGTCTTCTTGGGTATCATACTGAGAAGCAACTCAAAGTTTTAACATACGACACCAAAACAGAACCAATGCTTAAGGTTGTCTTGAAAGGTCTGCCTAGTTCACAATTCCTGGATCAAAATGTTCACCAATCGATCCAGGTGCAACGCATGAGCATCGCTATCATCTCCAAGAACTTCGAGGAAATTATTCCACAACATTGGTCTAAGCTGGCTTCCAAGCTTCCAACCCATCGGTCCTTTTCAGGACCACAAATGACTGACAATAGAGTTAACTAAAGAGTTCAAGTAAGAGCTTGTATCCAAGACATATCGTCCACGATTGGCTTGTACTACATGGACACCGACAGAGCACCTCAGACCTCTCAAACTGCTTCCGAATTTCAATCTATCGAGCTTTTTCAGTGAAGCATGTTAATATTTACTATACTTTTACTGTGACATCAAAACAACCTTTTGTAATCCTACGTCAAATCTACGGTCGTGTCTTGGATACAACCTCTTAATTCTGACGTAGGACTACGTATTTAATTTCTATACTGGGGGTCCTTTGAAAAAAAAAAATCAAAATTCAGACATGTAACGAAAAATCTCGAACACGGACGCATCGATAGAGCGCAATCGAACACACGACACATTGCGCATGCTCACATGAGCGAGCTCAACGCTCGGTTGATCGCCCACCATTTCACCGATGAAAGGAAGGGAGGAGAAAAACAGCGATAATAAAGGCTTCCATGACTACGCCGCCGTCATCCGGTTAGCATCGACTTGCACTGGTGTGGCCACCATTTGAAAATCAACCGGCTCTTGTCAGGGCCACCAATCCAAAAACGGAAAGAGTTAAGAATTAAATGATCAACATATTTGTTCCGTCCACTAGCGTTCCTACGTCGAGCCTCCGTTCGTGCCCCTAAGCACAGACTCTTCTACTTTTTTGTAAATGTTTTAAGACATTAGAATAAATGCTATCACTTCGGGTTTTCAGGAAGCAACATTTCAGCTTTATAAAGAGAGAGAAGGATTTGTAATTTCCATTTAATCAAAAATAGATATTTCCTGGCTGTTAGTAACTACTTTACTCTGGAACTGATTCACCTACTCTGGAACTCCATGACTAGCCACTTTGCTAGTTTGTGGACTTTGGGGAGATCTTTGATCTAAGGAAGAATGGGATTGGATATTCCATTTCCTAATATTGATTTGCACTCCTTCAGTGCTTTCTACATGCGTTTCACTATTTTCTGTAAGGGGTCTACTCAAAGCTGTATATACGGTCCGTTGTTAATCTTCGTTGTCATCTGATTGTCATAATCATCCTTGTCTATGATAACGACCGCGTTGCCCTTGTCTGCTTTCACATAGTATACTGCTTTACTTTTCAGCTCCTTTACAATCCGTATTTCCTTTTCGTTGGTGCGACTTTGTTACTGTCCGTCCTTGATTATTCTGTGATGATTTTGAAAGTGTCTTGGTAATCGCTGTGTCTACGTCAATGATGATCTGCTCCACGTCTGGCTTGGTTGTAACCGCTTATCCTAGCCTCTTGTTGAGGTTTGTCAATTGTTCTTCCAGGAATGCGGTCGTCGATCGGTTGACAACCAACCCATCAATGGAGTGAACCCTCGGCGTCGTGGTGGTGATGGATGGGATCTACTTACCCGTTCGGTGTGTCGTCCGTCTCCGTTGAGACTCGTGCCGTAGTCTGTTTAGCTTCCTATCGTGCAGCTTCCGTTTCCTATCCGATTCCAACTCATCTGCTACCTTGGTCCTATTCAGAAACTCCTGGAATTTAATTGGATACTCCTTGGCCAATTTAAGATGTACAGAATAACATTCCAAAGTCTTCATGTCCAGTTTGCTATGTAGTCGTCTGATGCTATCCTTGATGAACTCTGCTTCCATCTTCTTTACAACGCTGGGTGGGGTGGGTGTCCGTACCTTAATCCTAGCTTCTAAGTGAAAATGTATCTATTTAGGTTGATATATATTTGGTAAGTTGCGATGTTTTCTTCAGTCGAGTATTAGTGCAAGACACTGAAGAAGTTTGTAAATTGTAGACGAAGTACGCGTATCTGTCAAGGATAAGCAAATAAGGTAGTGGAATTAAATGAAAATTACTAATCCTTCTCCCTCTCTTTATACAGGTATTTCACTAAGACTTGGAATTTCCTTGTTTATTTCCAAGCATTCCATATTAATCCTTCACTCGGTCTTTACTATCTTTACCCCGCGTATTTCAAAACAGCAGAACGATATCGATCCTTACGCTTATCAGTACACAAAACTGCAACTCAGGATGCAATCCGTCTTCTCCAGCTAGTGCCTTACTTCTTCTCCTTCTCCTTGAACTTCTCCTCTCCCTTACCACCTCGGATACGACCGGTACGACGGGCAGCAATAAGACCGACCGTGCAACCTGGTGGAGTTCCTCGCTTGACGGTCGAGGCCTTACCAATGTGCTGATGGTTACCACCACCATGGGGATGTTCGACGGGGTTCATAGCAACACCATGTACCTTTGGCCAGCAGTTACGCTTAGACTTGTACTTGTGGTAGGCACGAACGGCCTTCAGGATAGGCTTGCCGATACGACCACCGCCAGCAATAATACCAACCATGGCACGGTTGGCCGATGGCAGGACCTTCTTGGCACCCGATGGCAGCTTGAAATGGGTACGCTTGGTGTCCGGATTGTGGGCAATCACGGAAGCGTAGTTACCCGAGGTACGGGTCAACTTGCCACCATCACTGGTCTTCTCCTCCAGGTTGCACACAATAGTACCTTCCAGCATCAGACCGATTAGCAGCACATTACCGATCTGCAGCTGGGCGCGCTTTCCGCAGTACACAAACAGTCCGGTGAACATACCTTCGGCGACGATGAACAGCTGTTTGCGCAGCTTGAAGTTGTACGGGTCACGGAAGTGAACGACCGACAGCGGGGCACCACGACTTGGATCATGGATGATTTGCTTAACGACACCCTTAGTCGAGGGGGCGCAGTTTAGGCTCTCCCTTTCGCTTCTTGATGTGGGCAGTGAAGACGGACCCGGCACCTTGACGCTGTGCACGAATTACTCGCCCCAATTGTGGCGATGTATCAAGAGTTTAAAAAATAATTTTAATGATACACAAAATGTGTGTTCGCTGTACTCTGGTACGAGCCCACGTTCATCAGAATTTCAGCTTTATTTTCAAAAAAATTTAGCCGAAAATATATTTTTTCCGCTGTTGGCAGTGTTTTGAGTTCTAAATTTAAATATCTTAAATATAACGTAGGATTTATTGGTAATTCGATAAATTACCAAAATGGCGGCGTTCGGAAAAAGTTCGAATTTTCGTTGAAAAAATCGCTACTCAAATCCACGTAAAAAATCGAAAAGTTGGAATATCCGAAAAATCCTTTAATAGATTTTGGAAAATTCATTTTTACATCGTGGACAGCAGAATCAGCCAAATTGATCGCATAGTCTCCAAGATCCCTGTCTCGCAAGGTAAAAAGATGACATTTAGTGCGTTTAACAGCATGAGCATGAGCATGAGCATGATTGACCGCACACGGTTGCTACTCTGTTATTGCCAGACCAGCTGTAATTACACAGAGAACCAATAGACGATGCTTGGGACTAGCAATCATCCTCAATGTGTAAAAACTGGTGATCTTAAACTAGGCAATACCAGCGCCGGCCACGCCCGAACACAGGTAAAGAAAGGAATGGGTAGGAATGTGTTGACGTGACACTCGCTTTGATGGAAGCCGAGAACACCTCTGTACTTCCACGAGAAATCACTGGGATATTGGGTAATAGGGTTGGGTTTGCAGCAGCGTTCGTTTTGGTAAACGATAAGCTGAATTGATGTCCTGTTATTACCATGTAACAAATAAAACGATTGACGAATCTTGAATGTGGATGGGCTTGAGATTAGACTCATGATGTTCTGCTCAGTAAGCAAAACCGGTTGCTCTAAGGCCACCGAGCCCCTCATATCACATTATAGCGTTACTCAAGTTTTTTATGACTATTCAGACCCGGCACCGACGACAACGAAAAGTCTTACGAAATACACGATAAACAAGCGATCTAACCATACATTTTTAATATGAAAGGATCTGGGACCGCGTTTTTCTGCTCAGTAAGCAAGCCACTGCAACCGACGATCTTTGAAATCCTTAAACTAAAAGCTATGAAAGAGGCCTTCATTAAGATCCATTTTCACGCGACGTTAAATGTTTAGATTTTCTCTTTACGCATGGTTCAGGTAATCATAACAAGCTATGACCGACGGGACGATTGTTTAAGAGCTGGTTGAACAAGCTATTCAAATGAAATTACGTTCTCGAATTTTACTTGGCATGTAGTGAACAACAGAAATACGCAATAATTCATATTTTCAGCGGTTGGTGGTTAATTTTAAATATACTAACGGTACTGCCTATGACTACGACGGTGATTACGACGGTGATTACGACGGTGATTACGACAACGACAACAGCGAATTTGTAACTTACCATTTGTCTAGGATAAACACCTCTGCCCGGCACCTCCACTGGTTCTTCATGTCCGCTATCTGTCACTGTTTGCAAAATATCTAATAGCAATTACCTTTGTTGTGATACTTCCTGTATTGCCATGGTTATCTGGGACGAGGTTTGCATCTAGTGCTTTCCCCAGGAACCGTTCACGGCCACCAGCTACTGCCCGTTCAGTCTTGGGCGTATCCAGCGAGGCATCCTTCAGATTACTTACAATCTCCGTCACTCGATGCAAATCGCAGGCACACTTACGCTAGTTACAATAAAAACACACCCGTGCAAAGAACCGGATCAAATAAACGTCACTCTCGCAAAAGCACACCCGTCGTCGTCGAATGGCAAAAAAAAAGGAATCGGTGGGCAATTTTGTGATACGGATTTCCAAAATCAACCGGGAATGCACGAATTTCACCACACCCACGAAACACGTTCAGAAGCACTTTTGGTACACTTTCGTTCGAAAACACTAATTTTTTTTTTTCAAAAATAGTTGTGAACCAACATCATCACCGCGTAAATAAACTAAAATTAAAATAATCGCTCGCGATGCCACAAATTTCTGGACCGGGAGAAAAAATCAAACAACGCAGATAGCGTCAAATCATGTTTTCTTTCTCGATTCTAAAACTTCTCGGAAAGCGAGAAACCACCACTCACACACGTATAACCGTCCGGGAGGCAGAATGCCAGCGCTAATCCGGCAAATGCAGCCGAAAACTATGAAAGCTAATGCACGCACAAAACAGAGAATAGACTTAAGACACAACCGTATCCAAAGACGTTCGAAACTAGACCTTTTCGAATAAACATAACATAAATTACAAAAATCTAAATCCATGAATGAGCGTTAGAGAAGCAAATATATTGTCTCTAGAGATTCCATTGGAGAACAATTGAAAAACTCCAATAAATAAAACCGAGATCCAAGTGTGCAAACTTTCCAATCGCTTTTTTTAAATTTCTAGTGTTAAAGAGTTCCCACTGTTTCTCAAAATAATAAACAATACACTTCCAGTCAACCATCAGCCGCACACCGCACTCCTGAGTTATATTTAAGTGCGTTTAACATTAGACAAACAGCGACTTACATTCATTCTGATATTCCATTTACAACATACATAACATTCTAGAAGGTTTAAGGATGCCTAAAACGAAAAAAAAATTTAAGACCCATCAACAGGTGTCCCCCTTTAACAAAATTAAAAATATTGAGTTGGATTAGCCAGTATTTGGTATATTTAGAGCAAGGACCTCAGTTTCGTGTTGTCAGAATAGATAATTGACTGTCTGACAATTTGCATCTTCGCATCCGAGCTGAGATGGAGGTTTTAATGACTACCTCAGAACACACTTGATTGCCAAAGTTTTCACACACCTACACCTTGACATTCCGAAAATCTTAAAAATACGGTGCGATTCTCGTTATGTGCCAGCATTCTACTCCCACTGACGTAATTATTTGATTTCCGTTTCAGGTGGCTTGGATAAGGAAACGAGATCTGCATATCCTAACGACCGGTTCATCAACCTACACCTCGGACCAACGATTTCAGGTATGACGTTCAATTTGTGCTATCCAGATTACGCATTGTTCGAAAAAAAAAAAATCGAAGAACAAAACTTATTTATCAATGGATCCAATCACTTCCCCATATGTATCACATTGTATAATTACAAATCAAAATGTTAAGATAGTATGCTGCTGGGAGGCAGAAAATATTCTGTAAAGTCCATCCTTGTTGATCCTTGTCAATAGCCTTCCCTATACACGAGAGTGTGTTCCTACACGTGACTTGTATGGTACCCACGCAAGCATCCAGCCTCCGGCATTTGCAGTATTTCCAATATAACTTTTAATTAACTTTCCCTCACTTCATGCTCTGGTTGGTTGCTAGGGCCAGTGCAGTATTATTCTCTCCTTCTTGTTGCTACTAGCGCTCCGTGATTTATTTTTTCTCATTTCCACATCCACAATATCGCAGGTGATCCGGCCGGAAAACTCCATTAATTGGACGTTACAGATCAAGTACCCCCAGGTGCGGGATTCGGGCGTGTACGAGTGCCAAATCAACAGCGAACCGAAAATGTCACTGTCCTACGAGCTCAACGTGATTGGTGAGTTTAGAGTTTGCCTATTTAGTTTAGATGGTTTTCGGTTTCTGTGGTGGTTTGTCGTCACAGGATAGGAGAGTGCATCGCCCGCACAGGTTGATGTTTGTTTGAATAGCGATCGATCGGAAAGGGACCATGACTTACAGTGAACACGGAAAAGGACCAGTATGTGTTTCAGTCCGTATTTATTCGAATTAATGTCATAGTTTTTAAAGAACACCTAATTGACTTATCAACGGATCCACGTTAACAATGTTCGATAGATTTTAGTTCGATCCTCCGCGATAAGCTTCCGCAAAAAATTGTCAAAGTAGTTATCAACCATACTCAATTTCATAGTCATATTCAAATTCATATATGTAGAGTGATTTTTCAGAATATCCCACAAGCCGATTGTCTTCATTGGATCAAGACGTCAGGAGGTAAATCAACTTCAATGTCTATCATTTTTTTTCATGGCGTCGACAGTGAGCATGCATAAGGGCGAATACACGATGATAAATGAATAATCGATTCTCTTAATTGATTTCATCTTTGCATTGCTACAGCTAAGCGAAACAATTTTCTAGAATTTGTTAAATGCAGAGTTGTAACAGGTTGTATAAGCTATCAAAAGCAACAGCAAGCGCACCGAGAAACGTTAATTCTAGCGAGTTATTAACAAAAGAGAAAATCGACGAAGAGAATCGATCATCGCGTTTACGCCCTTATGCATGCTCACTTTCGGAATATACATCATGAAACTAGTTATGGAATTTGCTCTGTTGGCAAAAAAAAAAAATGCAATCATGTCATCCATCATTCAACCACACCGACCTACTATTGAGATCACGGAGATCACTCAGGCCTATGCCCTCGGAACGTCGAACGTGACCCATTTCGATCCTTGAAGCGTAATTGAAAAGCTCTGTCTGGAGTGAGTGTAATGAACTGAAAAGAAGCAAGACGGATAGTCCATCTAGGGTGGGAAGAATAACACGGCATAAAGCACACCCATTTGCGCCCAGCCAGCCATGGAACAAAAGTTAATTGAATCGCTGAGATTTAGTGTTTGACGTGGTTTATCAGCATTTTCCCTCGTTGCGTTTGGCATCGGAGATCGGAAACGAGTCTGCACGGGATGCATGGATGGGAAGAAAAAGCTCATTATCGACGATGCCTGGGAACGATGGAAATCGGTAGTAAAACTGTCCATTGATTGGACACTTTATAGCCGAGAAAGTAATTTCCCACACGAAGCGGTTTTCCTCAACATTCATAAAATTTTCATAACTACCCGGTCTACCAATGCAACCGTTTCCATTCTCTCGCTTGAAAAATCAAATCACTTAGTGGTGGTAATGGTTTGTGCTCACTTTTTTCACAGATCATTTTACGTGAATTTGAAATTTTCAAAGTGCAACTTTCCGCTTTTCCAGAAGCGTACATGTACGGTTAGCCTCGGATGCATGATACGTCGTACAGGTAAAATGTGAGTTTTTCTGCTTCCTCTGCATGATGGACGACGAACGGAGCTGCGGGAAAGTTTTGATAGTGCATTTTCCTGCTTCCGGAAGTGCGAGTTGTTGTGTGCACGATATTTTCACTTCGAACTTTATATGGCAACTTGAGTGTGTGATTTTGCGAAAAATTCCGGAAGTGTGTGTATGTAATTTTAATTAAAACGAAGTTGATTTATTGTGTACCCTTCAACGCAAGGGGAACGATAAAAAATAAACTTTTTGTTCACAGGGTTTTCCGAAGCGATCTGAAAAGTTTACCAATGGAACTCACTGCTCCATTGGCTTTTTAATATGTCCCTGCAATCCGGAACCTTCCATAACATTTGGAAAAACTCATTTCTAGTGCCTATCTTTAAATCTGACGTACGTAATTATTGCTGAATAGCCATCATCTCTTGCATTCTTAAACCTTCCGAAGCAATCGTCAACGAAACATTATCTCTCCAAAAAAAAAAAAAAATAGAATTACTTACAAGAGTCGTTCGACCTCGACAAATTTTCTTGAATTTATAGACCATTCATTCATAATGGAAACCACGTAGAAGCCCTCTTTTCAGACTTTAGCAAGGCATTTCGTTTATTAATTTATTTGATAAGGCTCAACCGAATTAACTTTACAGAGCCGAGGATTCTTGTTCACTATACAATACATCTTTAAACTATAGTCAAAAGGTACAACACTATAAACATTTTATATTCCGCTATCCAATGAGCCTCCTCCACCAGAACGGGAGCCACTTCCAGTGATTTCTCGCGTCACTTTTCAAAAGGTGCTAAGTAACAAATGTAAACAAATCGAGTTAAGTGATACAAACTATTGCTCTTCTATCATTGTATGTGATGCAAAAACATCCTTCCAAATTTAGTTTCATTTATTTAAGATAATCATAGGTCAACAATTGTCCAATGTACAGCTTGAAATGATGGGTACATGATTGTTACTTCGGTCATTCGGACTGTATAACATGATTGGTGCTCATTTTCTAAAGGCGGGGCCAATCTAAAGTTCATGTCAATCTAGTATCATGTAGAAAAAAACGTCCAATGTAACACGCATTGATTCTGTCTTTGAGAAAAATCGTTCAATGTAACATGTCCGATGTACAACTTGACTAGTCAAAACGTCTTTTGTGTTTTTTTTTTTGTATATTGTAGCATAAAATTCAAAACAAAATTGTGATTTTACCGTTTCTACTGAATTTTCAACGTTATTATTCACTGACTACATAAAAAATAGTAGAGCAAAATGTATTGTTTCTAAGCAGTTAAAATAATAATCTATCGAACTTCAACTTCGATTTTCTCAAAATGGTGGATATGTTACACATTGGTCTATTTGAAAAGTGACGCGAGATTTCATTGCAGCAATGGACGCAAAACGAGGTCAGCACTCACACATTCATCACGAAACGGTTGTTTCTAAAGTCGACGACGCATCGACTGAAAGAACTGCTGATGAAGAACAATAAGGAGGACCACACAATGGTTGCTGCCGAGTAAACAGACGATTGCGTGCCACACATTGAGAGTGGCCTGTTTCTGTCGGCAGCCGAGTGAACACTCCTACTTTAGCAAGGCATTTGACCACATAGACATACCAATGCTGCTATTTAAATTGCAAAAAATAGAATTGAGTCAGGAGTCCTGAAATGGCTTCAATCATATTTAACTAACCGACAAAAAATAATTAAATTCAACGGAAAGAAATCAAGCCCAATTCAAGTAACGTCAGGCGTACCCAAGGCTCTCATTTGGGACCTCTTCTTTTAATTCTATACGTAAACGACTTTTCTTTCATGCTCAAAAAACTAAAATTGCTAATCTATGCCGATGACATGAAGCTCTTTTTGGAAATAAGAAATGAAGAAGGCATCAATATATTCCAGTACTCGAAAAAAATCCACCATTTTTATCCGTGTGTAACTTTTTTATCCGTGGGTAAAAATTGATGCAAATCTGGGTATAACTAGTTTGGAGTGAATTGTTTACATGTGCACAATTTCATAACAATCGGTTCAGTGGTTATTGAGATGTCATCGAAACAAGAAGAAAATCGCCGGAGAATTTTGCGCGCCGTCATGGAAAATCCGACTGCGACCATGAGATGGATCGGAAGACAACTGAGAATCACCCATACAACTGTGTCTCGGGTGGTAAAATCGTTTAAGGAGTCCCAGACGACCAAGCGGCGGGCTGGAAGTGGAAGAAAATCGAAGACAGCTGACCCTGTGAAGGCCCGGAAGGTGTTGGATTATTTCAAACGTAATCCGAACCTTTCGATTCGCGACGCGGCTCTGAAGGCAAAGTGTTCCGCCTGGTTCGTTCAGCAAACCATGAAACGAGCTGGGCTTCGTGTATTCAAGGTCCGGAAGGCACCGAACCGGCGTGATCAACAAAAAACGGCGGCCAAATCCCGCGCAAGGAAGCTGTATCGAGAGTGGTTAACGAAACCGATGTTTGTGGTTATGGATGACGAAACCTACATCAAGGCAGACGCAAAGCAGATACCGGGGCTGGAGTTCTACGTTGCCAAATCACGGTTTGATTTTCCGAAAGACATAATCAACAGCGAAATTTACCGCACCGAGTGCCTCCAGAAGCGTCTGTTGCCCTTCCTGCGGTCCCACGGAGGCGAGACATTATTTTGGCCGGACCTGGCATCATGCCATTAAGCGCGATCGACGTTGGATTGGTACAGAGACAATAACGTTGTTTTTATACCAAAAACCGCCAACCCCCCGAATTCACCAGAGATTCGTCCGGTGGAAAGATTTTGGGCCATAATGAAGGCCAAAGTTCGAAAATCGACCAATGTGTTTAAGAACGAGCTGGAGTTGAAGAAAGAATGGATGAAAGTGACCAAAAAGGTCGGCTCCACCATTGCACAAAATGTAAGGAGGGGTCTTAAGGGAAAGGTGCGCGCTTTCAGTGATGGAAAGGAAATTGAATAAAGTAATGATGCCGAAACATAATCCATATGTATTAGATCATTCCCTGAAAGTTTCAAGAAAATCCGACTTAAAATAAATTTTTGGTGAACACTTTTGTCTGGTGCATTTTTTTCGAGTACAGGCCTTAGCATTGTATGGCTCCTTTTTCAATCACGCATGAAGAAAGATTAGAATCAGTACAAAAGTAATTTCTATTATACGCCCTTCGTAAATAAGGTTCGACATAAAACAGCAAAAAAAAACTACAAGGGACAGCCCTATGGGGTTGTACGCAATGGTGTCCTAGGACTACGTGGTATTATATATTAAATCTTATTTGTTAACTGCAGCAGGAGCTTGTGTTTTGTGTGGGAATAGGGGTTCTCGCTGTTTATACTCTTTAGTATGACGCGCTTGACATAGATGGCCCACAGCAACTCACGAAGAGCAATTGATTCCGATTAATAGCGGTGCGGCTTCTTCCTCCTATGGATGGCCATGTGGGCTGCAGCTCGCTGCTTGCGGAGAGCTATTTGTTGTGTACTGGAGAATACCCCACTCACCACGCGGT